CCCCCCCTTTCTGCCATGGGGCACGCCGCGGCAGTCATTTCCCGGGTCTCTGCGGCTGTGCTTCCCCCCCACCTGCCGTCCCGGCACTGCGTGGCGTGGGAGACAGAATCGCCCCTGAGCATTTTCACACTGCATACAAATCTGCTAATTCCCGATGGAGCCCGTCATAATTTGTCCGGCGCCGGTGAAAAACAGAACAGTTTGCCAGAAGGTGTTAGTTTGTCTAGGATAGTTTAGGACGTGGACCGTGGAACGCATCCGAATGGGGGCGGGGGCATAAAGTCCAGTGCACCTGTCCTGTGGAAGATTTAAACTTCTGCCACTTCATTTCCCCCAAAATGCGGAAGCCTGCTCACCCCACTTTTTTGCCCTGTGATGCATGTTGCGATTTGGCTAAATCTGTCAATGGCAATAACAATAAATATACGGTCTAAAAATATGCTCCATTGGTAAATATCAACTCACAATGCTCAGTGAGTAGTCAATATCATTTGCCTTGGCTAAATTTTATTTTTGTTTAAAAAAAAAAACCACGGACAGAATGCAGGCATTTATTAATAAACTTTCAATGGTTTGCATTAATTTTTTTTTTATTCTTAATGATACTCCAAAAGCATACCCCCCCACCACACCCCCCAGTACCGTGGCCCATGCTGCAGGACATTGGTCACCAGCATCCGGACTGAAATACAATTGCACCCGGACCGCACAATCGATCTACACCCCCCCCACCCCACTTGGCAAATTTAATCATCAGGGGATTGTCCCTGGTCGGCAAATTTTTGGAAGCAGTGGGCTGTGTCTTTGTGCTGCTGATGGAATTTGGCCCTCTGGGAACAGCAGCTGGGGCCCCTGCTGTCAGACACCCACTCAGGCTTACACCCCCTCCCCGTTTGTGTGTCCCTGACCCTCTCCTGCTCACTTGCTACCTCCAGCCCATCATGGCCGCCGTTCCCTCTGATACAGAGCATTCCTTTCAGGAGGGCTGTAAGCTGTGCGTTTCTTTGCTTTATGAGTTTAGGCTGCAAATCCATTTCAGGGTGGAAATCTATTTTTCTCCGCAGCACCGGGGAGCATGGAAAGGCCGCGTGATTGGTCCTGATGCGGCAGAAAGCTACGTAGCGTTTTTTTTTTTTTAATCTGCGACGCAACTGGCTAGTGATTATCCATATAAAACGGCAAACAGCTTGAAATTAAATGCATAATTAGTCCAAGTCTTGTGGATTTAGTAACATTATTCAAAGAATTATTTACAGTTAAATTACCTAGCTAATGAAGCATGACTCCAAAAATGCTGTAAGATGTGCTGACTGCCTTAAACCACAAAGAGTCTGAGCGGAAATGCTCTTCCCTTTGTCATTATTTAGTTACTTTATTTAAGACTGGGCTTTATAGTTTTCATATAATTAAAATTTAATTATTTGAATGTAATAATCCTAAAAAGGATTGTATGTAACAGCAATATAATTACTGTAATGAAAGAATGGATGATATATATTTAATTACTGCATATTAAGCACACTGTTTGCACGGCCGCACTCAGTCGTGAGACACACACTCGCCAAGGCGGGATTTCGCATCCTCATCCGTGGATCGCACAGACGTTGGGGAGCCGGCGTGACCATTTTGGTAATGAGACACCGAGTGACAGCTTTCAGAGGGCTGGCGCCTTAATGAGGAATACCAGGAATACCGGGAATACAGGAATACAGGAATACAGGAATACCCAGAATACAGGAATACGGGAATACCGGGAATACAGGAATACGGGAATACAGAACGATACAGAAGAGCGGCCCGGTCTGTTTAGGTGAGAGCAAAGAAACGGGACAAAGGCGCAAAGGGGACGGAGATGCAGTTTCGCCGCCCCTGTTCCTCCACCTGTTACAGGCATCCATCCACTCGCCGAGCCTGGACACCTGGAGAGCAGCTGGATCCGGATGCACAGATGTCAGGCTGGCTCAGATCAGTCCCACCCCCCCGGCCTGATGGCGCGAACGACAGGGGTGCTCCAGGAAGCCTGTCGCTCGTACGGACCGAGCGCCGCGGAAAGCCCAGCGGCCCGACCAGGAAATTAAAGAGGACACGTGTAAAGGTAGAGCTGCGGGGGTGTCTGAGCAGGGGAAGTGGGGCTCCATTCGTCTGCTGGAATTGACGGCGCCCGACCAGGCAGCCTTATCCGCCTGTCCTCCCACTTCCTCACATCGCCAGAACCGCAGCCTGACTCACCAAACCAGCAAACCTATTAAACCAACACAACGAACAAGCAGATCTACTAAACTATCAGCAGCTCCACCACTCCAGTGCTATTTACCAACTAAGAGAAGGTTAAAATCCCCCATTTTGAACAAAGGATCACAGTGCTTTGTGTAATGCTACCAACTGGGTGGGCTCCAGTGTCCTTATTTATGGGCTCCGATTGGCTGGTGCTGATCCAATCCCGTGTCGCAGACTTCGGCGCCCCCTGCCCTCAGCTCCTGGAGGTGCAGGCCAATCCGGTAGGCAGGACCACCATCCAGAGCAGGCCCTCGCTCTGTCGCCACTGCAGATCACAGTCCTTCACCCCTGACTGCACCCCTGTCTGAACTCCCAGTGGCGCTCCATCCATAATAGGGCCAGCACCATGGCCTGGCCTTCCCCCTCTCTCAGGGCCTTCCTGCTGTCTCTATCTGACTCCTATCTGTCTTCAGCTATTGCTTCTGTATGTTATTACTCACCTCAAAGAATGGGCACATTTTCGCAGGTCAGTATCTATTTTAAACCCCTCGGCCAGGACAATCCTTAGCACCCCTCCCTTGTGTGCTGTTTTTGCCTCTTCCACTTGATCCCCTTCCAGTCCCTCCTGACTCATCTGCATGACAGGTTTTGGATCTTTCTATGTCTTTCCCTTAATCTCCATCTCCCTTCATCCCTACATCTTCTGAACCTTTAAAGAAACCGCAGTCAGAAGTGCAGAAGCACCCGTGGCCATAGCGGGAATGCCGTCACTGCAGCTCACTCTCGCACGCCGTCACTGCAGCTCACTCTCGCACACCGTCACTGCAGCTCACTCCCGCACGCCGTCACTGCAGCTCACTCTCGCACATCTCTTTGACTTTATGAATATTCAGAGTAAGGTATTGTCTGCACACAGTGCACACTGAGCTGAATCGTTAACAGAGGGGGGGGG